GCTTTAATTGCCAGAATTGTAATTTCAAAAGAAATTATTGGTACAGAATCCAATAGTATTTTATCTTAATTGCAGCTCATTCTTCATGTCATCTATTCTTTGAGGATGATGAATAATTGATTTACATGATTTCCCACAATTATTTGATGAGTAATCAATGGCATTCAATCAATTTGTTTAGTGATCATACTTGGCAATTTACATTTAAGTGAAAGATTAAGATCTCCTGTGCAGTCAAATAATGATCTCTGTTTAAATCATGTTAGGACAGTAACACAGTGAAACAAAAGCTGATGGAGCTAGGAGTTGGCTTGACAAAAAAGGACAAATGGTGGGAAGCATTAGCCTTAACTTCTAACACTCTGGCTTCTCAAAGTGTAAATTTTAAGAGAATCAAATTTAATAACAGCATCAGTGGTACTTATTCAAATTAATATCTATTTCCTTCTATCAAATCTTTTCTGCGTGTTGCTTACAAATCTGAGTTGGTCTTATGAACTAATGAGCGAATAATCAAATGCCTCAGTGCACATGGGATCAGTCATATGCTTTCCAGCTGTTCCATCTCTCCAAGTGAGGACAACAGAAGGTTGTTCCGTCTCAGCATCTCCTGTGCAAATGGAAACATCTCCAGGCAATGAAGTGGCCACATTCTTGAGGAAAAAGCAGTGAAAAATCCATGCTAGCCTCTCAGGAGTACCAACAGAAGACTAATGCCTCGGAGGACTGGGAAACCTATTCAAAGGTCACTGGGTTTCTTAGTTTTCATCTGCAGCTAGTGAAATGCAGAGATTTTTTGCCATTATTTCTGGAAAACAATCAGATTCATTGAGACCACTCCAAAGGCAGAGTACAATCATCTGCAGTTGGACCGGGTACAGAGATGTTCGGCTGCCTTCCAGGAGTTGCTCCAACCCCACAGCAGCTAGCAGGGCTGTCTCCGGCTCAGAGGGAAGAGAACAACAGCGCATCTCAGGAACAGACGGGGATTATTTGCACGTATGGCACATGAAATGTTGTTCATTTCCTCTTGGTCACATTGCCCGTTTTATCCTAGTCCAGGGGAGATTACTGAGCTAGAAGAACTGATGGAGAAGTCTGTGACTGAAGGCAGGGTGTGAGGCCTTCTTGTAAGGATGACATTTTAGTCCAGGTGGAGAGGACAGAGAGATTTAAAAGCTATGGAAGATTCCTGGGAATGAAATCCATAAGGGTTTTTTTTATCAGGCCATGCACTTTTACATGAGTCTTTATGAAGACTCATGTAGCTGAAAATGTTACAGAGCCAAGGGTTGAGGCCAAAACAAATAAAAAAGGAAAAAAAAGAAACAACCAAGGAGAGCTCTTATACAGAAATGAAGGACTGTTGCAAAAATTAATTGGAAAAAGAGATGGCTTATCCTGAAACAAAACTTGACTGGAAAACCCAAGAGCTCAGCACCTCTCCCAAATGCAGGCAGGCATCTTGGTTCTAGCTCTGTAGTGGGATGAAATTACCTCCCTCTTGCCTGCATTATATCCAGGTTTGTAGAGGATAAGAACACAAACCTGGATTCTAGGATTGAGCCCTAGCTCCTCAGCCCTATGCCTGACTTGAATAGTTAGAGGCAGGCTTCCAGTTGCACTGCAAAGGCCACCCAGCCTTCAGAGAGGATTTGATGGAGACCTTTGGGATGCCTGTGGGTACAGAGAAGGAAAGTGGTGTGCCTGATGGAACTGGGGAAAGCAATCCTCAAAGCACTGAAATTGTGAAAACTCAGTTCTAGCATTCATTCATTTACAGTTTGTAAATCTGTTCATTCAACAGTTTGTAAAACTGTTTTTTAAGCCCGGGCTATAATGGCTGATAAAGAACATATTGCTAGATACAAGCCAAAGAAAAGAGTTGGTTTGATAAGAATCAGCATGGGAGTGTTTATACCTATTTCCTTCAGGTAGCCTACATTATTTGATTCCATAGTAGTCCAGGAAGGCCAAATGTAGAGCTAGAACAAGGTGTTCTCATTAGGTGTCCTCATTACTATTATTCACTGATGCGCTTCTATACAATTCTAACACTGCACAAATATTAACTCAACCTTATAAGACACATGTCATGAAAGACAGTTTTATTTTCTTATGGAAATAGGGAAATTGAGGCATTCCTATTGCTATTTGGAAGCAAAAAAAGGAAAAATGGCCATTGTACCCATCCTTAAAGGCATAGTAAGCAATAAAGAAAAAGTTTAAAATCCAATGTACAGTGTTGCAGAAAGTGAGGAACAGCACTGTCTCTCCAAAAAATCTCCAAATGATCCAAGAAGCTGCCCAGCATTTCACAGCAGTAAGCAAAGGTAAAGCAGAACAAAACAGCCCAATCTGACTTGATGAAAAGAAAATCCAAGTCTCATCCTTAATCTGATGCCAGTTTTATTCTAAGCTCACAGTATAACTACCATTTAGACAGGCACCTGTGGGGTGGCCCAGTGCCAGGATTATACCACAGTGCTTCACTCACTCTCCATTTCCAGAGACAAGCACTGTCTATGGCCCCATACCTTCACTGTTTTGGCAACAAGATGGCACAATCAGACCTGCATCTCCTGTTGTGGCTGGATCCAACATCTCCAGGTCACAGGATCCTGTACCTACGTGGTTGGAAAGGACTACTGAAGGCAGTTAGTGCAAGCAGGGAGAGCCTCAAAGCTTCATCGGTGCTAGGTGGGATTTCTGCTGCCCAGCTCACAAGCTGGTTTTACTCACCTATTTGCAGTTCAGTTGTAACTTTCTACATATAATTTATGCAAAAGAAGATTTCTGTGTCTTCTTGACTACCAAGGTTAGCTAGACCTTTCAGATATGAAAACATGGGATACTCTAAGAATAATAAGAAATAATAAAAGTAGTGACTGAAAGAGGTTAAAACTGGGAAAGAAGGTCTTACAGGCTGTTCCAGGCATTTCCCATTTACCCTTGCTTTCTGGGGTACCTGTGTGTCTATACTCACACTTCAGAAACTTTTCACACTTCACATATTCAAGAAGGATTCTGTAATGTAGGCTAAAAATTGCATTCCTCGCATGAAATTCATTATATCTGTCAGCATCACTTTCTAGAGAAAAATCCTAAATATGACACAAACGTTAGGATGTATATTATAAGTACATTAGGTAAGCACTGCCCAGCGTTCCATGCAAGTTGGATTTTTTACTATGCCAAGGTAATAAAGCTGAGGCTCATACCAGTATTAAACTTACATATTGCCAGGTTAGATGTCTTTTCTTGCATAAATATTTATGAAATATTCAGTAGCAATTTAAAATAGATGAATGGCTATTTTGGGGCATTTCCGCTGTGCAGATTTTCTTTATTACTGCTCACAACCCAGTTCAGGGTCAAAGCTGACAAACCTCCAAACTGTGTAGCCTTCGGGACAGTGAGAAGTGCATCCAGTGAAAACAGCAAACAGTACGTAAGGTCAGGATGCAAAACCAAAGAAAATGCAAAAAATTGATCAAGAATGTTACAACCCCTTCCTCAGTACTTACACTTGTGGCTTGCATTTTTTAATTAATTATAGGCTCAGAGAATCATTAAGGTCAGAAAAAACCACTAAGATTATTCAGTGCAACTACTGACCCATCCCCACACGCCCAGTAACCATGTCCCTCGGTGCCACATCTCCATGGTTCTTGGACACCTCCCAGGATGGTGATGCCACCCAATACCTGGGCAGTCAATTCCAATGCTTCACCACTCTTTCTGAGAAGAAATCTTTCCTAAAATCCAACTTGAAATGCTATCGCCCGCTGTTCGCAGGGTTACAGGTGCATTTTCATTCCTGCACAAACACAGTGTCGTGTCATTCCCAGTGAGGAGCTATGTTGGTAGTTTGGACAAGCTTTATTTCTGTCCATGTAGTGGAAACCATAGCAGGCTGCTCGGGAAGCAGTCGTGCTGGATTTGCATTGCAGACATGGCTGTGGTATGGGTAAATTACATTTCTGTCACAAGCTTCCCAGGCTACCCAGATGGTTAAGTAGAAATGAAGAGTTTATAGCTTAATTAGAGGCATTTATAAGTGAGGATCAGATAAACAGAAATACAACTTAAAAGAGGGCATTGGCCATAAATTCTTTCATTCCAGATTCAGATCTGCTAATACATGACTGTAAACACCTCCGACAAGGTTATTTACAAGCCAAGCAATATGATTTCCTATACCTCTGGAGCTTGAAGTGGGAAGAAGTAAATGATGGAAATCAAGCAGTGCTGCAAACACAGACTAAATATATTTAGATCTTGGTGATAAATGCTACAGAGAGGCTCAGAGAGGTGGCATGGGAGAATACAGGGCAGGGGACAAGGAGAACCAGCACAGCAGATGGCTGCAGGCACTTCTGCCACCACTGCTATCCTTTTCTTCTTTTTCCTTTTTGAAAGTATGCTTTCCCTCCTCCCCTCCACTCCCCCATTTCTACTTCATCCCTCATGTGTCTTCTTAAATTACATCAAACCTCATCCTGATGGCAGAAGCGATGGAGACTGCCTGTAAGGAGGTGTCACCTGTTTGCCTGTGCTTTCTTTGAAAATTCCACACAGACGCAATCTGGAAGTGCTTATTTTCAGACTTCACTCAGATTTAAGAGGAGCCGTTTGGCGATGCGGATCCCGTTCCCAGAGCCGTGCAAAATTAAGCACGTCTATACGGCATCGTTAAACAGCCCCATTCTCACTGACGCGGCCCAGTTCAGCACCGAGGAGGGGAAAACCGTTGTGAAGCCCCCAAACGGGGAGACAGCGCGGCTCGCGGGGCTCCCGCAGCGCCTCAGCGAGCTCCAGCGGGCAGCGTCCCGCCCGCCCCACCCCGCGGGTGAACGAAGCCCCGCCCCGAACGCGCCCCTCGGCCCCACCCCGCCCCTCTCCCCGCCCCGCCGGGTTGGCGGCAGCCAATGGGCGCAGCGGGAGGCGACGGTCGCCGTCCCGGGCGCGGAGCGGCGGAGCCCCATTAGGGCGGGGAGCGGGCGCGGGGCTCGGCCACTCGTAGCGGGCGCGGGGCGCGGCGAGGTTCCCGGCTCGTCTTCTTCCGCGCCGCCTCTCTGCTGTCAATGCGCGCTGCTGCGGCCCCCACCCGGGAGCGCGTCGCCGCGGCTCGGAGGTAAGCGGGGGCAGTGGGCGGGTGGCGGCGGTGCCCGATGACAAGCGGGCTGCTCCTTTCCCGTCTCACCGAGAGGGCCCCCGGAACGCAGCGGGGCTGTCAGCGCGGTGCCGGCGGGGCTGAGCCGCGGTCTGTCACCCAGTCCCTCGGGGCGAGCCTGGACGCAGCGTGCTGCCGGAGAGCCCGTGCGGAGGGCTTAGAGGATAACGGCGCGTTCTCCGCGGGCTGGAACCGAAAAGGCATCGCAGATGAACGAAAAGTTCGGGTTGCGTCACTCCGCTGCGATCGTCGAGCTGCCGGGGTTTGGTGCGGCTGCCCCTCTGCCCAGCTGCGGGGTTTGACGGCAGGCAGTGCCGCCTGGCAGGCAGTGCCGCACGCTCGCCCTCACGGCGCAGCGCCGCTCAAGCGCGGCTGTAGCGGTGCCGGTCGCTTAGCGGGGGTCTTGTCCCGGTCGGGCGGCTCCGCGGCGCTGCCCTCCGGCTGTGCGGCAGAAGGGATCGCGCCGAAGCAACCCGCGTCAGCCCGTTGCAGCCGTGCCGCCGGCTGGGCGAGGTGTGCGCCTGGGGACCCGACAGGGTTAATGGCTGAGCTGTAAAGATTGGAGGCAGATGTGGGCGAGAGCAACAGGCGGCTCTGGCTTTCCCTAATATCCTGTCGTATGATAACTCTGAAGAAGGTAATTGTTTAAAAAAAAAAAAAAATCTGTTTCAATTTAAGATTTATTAAGCAAGAAGAGCCCTGTGTAAACACCAGAACCCTTTCCTAGCTTAGAAAGGAAAGAAAAAAAAAAAACAACTCCCAAATGTTAGCGGGACTTAAAGGGAGCGAGTGCAAGCTGTGGGTGCATTGCATTGCCATGCCTGAGAGCAGGCAGATTATCAGCCTCCTTTCCGCTTCACCCTGCTTCTTGCGGGGATGAGGACATTTAACTCTGGCTTTTTGGAAAATGGCTTCTGTGCTTCTTTTCTAGCAAACCGGTTCTTTCCAACGCTTTGTGAGGCATTTAGGGTGCGTGAAAAGATCCCAAGTGTCCTCCCGGGGAGGAGAAGGAGCGAGAGGGCAGGGCCGGGTTCCACTCAGACCTGTAATAAGTGGGGAGTGTGCGTTTGTGTGCGAGGCAGAGATGTGAGGAGTGACTTGGCTCTCTAATGACCTGGCTTTGCAGAACTTCAAGAGTTTCGTCTGTCTCCCCCTATGGTTATAATAAGAGATTAAATGCGTTTGGCATGTTTAATTAATTAGCATATGAAAATCAGATGGCTTTGACTTTGTCATTGTTTTCCTGTGAAACTCTTCTACGCTAATGAACGTCTGCAGTTTATGAAGTAATTTAAATTGATTTGGTTCGTATTATGTCTTTGCTCCCCTTTTAATGCTTCAGCCTTTGTGTCGCAGCCTGGAAGTCTTCTCCCTTTGTACCATAGGTCTTGCACAACATATTGTCATCACTTACCGTGCACAGCTTCTCCCAGCACAGACAGAAAGCTGAGCTTCAACATGAAGGCACTGTTTGCTTGGGTGCTGGGTCTCGTGCATTCCAGGGGTAATTGTATGTGTAGTGATGAAGTGCATGTAAAACAAACAAAACATGCTGGGATTTGTTTTCCTTTCTACCACTGCTGTCCTCAAGTAGAGATGCCTGCTGTGGCTGCCAGGGCTGTAACCATGCATACCCCAAGACATCACTTCTTATTTTCATCCCGACAAAGTGATCTCTTTCTGTAATTCTAGGAAAATAGTTCTGCGGTCTTGCATTGTGTTAAGGATACCTGAGTATGTGCTAGATGTGTGTAATGGCCAACTGACACGTGTCAGTATCAACTTGCTTGTACTGACTGTGGAGCTTCAGCCTGACCAGCATTGTTATGTTTATGCTCTTCTAAATGGAGGTAAACTTGAGGTTAGCTGTGACCACTGGTATATACTCCTTGTGAGCCATGCATGCTTTGGTCCTGCTCCTGGAAGTGCTTATACCAGTGCATAGCTTTTACTCATATGCTTGAACTGTTTGGCTTAGGAGTTGTGTGATGGGAAGAAGCAGTGTGGAAGGGTGCAATGCGGCAGTCCCTATCTGCCCCCTTCCACCCTATGGCAAAAAATGATGGGGAGAAACGTGTTTTACGAGTTTTAACACACTGAAGTTATGATGTTTCTGGCAGAAAGACCAAGATAGGCTATCACATCACTTCACAATTTGCTGAAATTACATATTTCTCTTACAGAAGCAATTCCTTGGCTGGTGTCTGAAGGATATTTCCAGTTACTGAAATGCATTTTTCAAGTTCTATGCTATAATTCTTTGTATCTTGCTTGCTTATATTGTGCTATTGTGATCTTTTTTGTAGGTTGGATGGTGTTTTTTGTTTTGTTTTTCTTTTATGTAGAAAGTAATCAAATGATTACCAACACAAGCTGACAACTCTTCAGAAAAAAAACAACCCTGCAGAAGAATATGTTTAAGTGTACAGAATGAGTGAAGTGCTCAGACATAAGAGGCACAAGCCAATACAAACACTTGTAGTACTTCTAAAATATCTGTACATGGCAGCTTCTTGCTCGATTACCTTTTCTTGGCACTTTGCCTGGAAGGCAAACTTCTAATAAGTTCTTAAATACAACCGTAAGTTCTTCAGGATGATTTGGGGCCTATCAAGCTCAGAGTGCTGATCTAGCTAAGAGACCTCTGGTAGACGGCCTTTCAGGCAGGCCTTCCATTTCCAGTGGGTTATACATCAACAAAAACTGTGTCATTGCAGTTGTTCTGTGCTGATGTTGCGCGCTCCTGCCTAAAACATTGATTGATAGCCCCCAGCAGCTTTTGCTGTTCTTCTCTCCTTCCTTGTCCTTTCTGCTGTGCCCCCTCACCTTCCAGTTCCACTGAGTTGGCAAAAGCTGGTAAAAGTACTATGGAACGTGCTGATAGACTTCTACCTGCAACAGTTTAGTGTGGCTGCCCTTCTTTTATCAGAGCACTGATGCCACAGCTTGTAACTACAGTCTTTGACCTTAGAAACAATTGTGGTTGTTGTTGTTTTGTTGGTTTTATTTTAAATGTTTCTGGTTGCACACAATATTGGTTTTGTGGAGATGCCACGTGCCAGAAAAAAAAAAAAAAAACCCACTTCCAACCGCCTCCCAAATATTGAAATATGGTTGATTTGCTTTTATTTTACATAAGTTTTGTGCCTGTGATATTTTTATCCTTTTTATAGCATCGTGCCTTCTAATCTCGCACCAACTGGCCCCAATCTTAATATCATATGATCTCAGAACCAGGTTTCTCTGACAGCAGCATGCCAAAACCATGTCTAATCTGTGTGTTAATGCAGCATATACAACAGCTCTGGCTTCTCACAGGGTTTGATCACTGATTTGTATAATTGCAACCAGCATGATTAAAAAATCTGCATGTCAATATCATGATGCCTATAATAAAACCTGCAGATGTTTTTAAAACAGGGTGATGTCAGTCTTCAATTTTTTTCTTTTTTTAAAGAGTCTCTGCCGTCCAAGAATCTTCATTTCTGAAAGTGTTTGAGTGATCTGAAAGTCGCATAGATGTAGCTACAAATGTAGCAATGTGGACTTCCAGTCATTCCGATCTTGCATATTCTCGCACTGCAAGAGAGCTGTGTCTTCTCTCGCTAGTCTCTACGTATACATTTTTCACTTCAGTCCCTTGAATTGTGGTTGAACCTTTAAAGGTATCCAAACACATACTGGTATATCACTCCTCTTCAGTATTCCTCGTGAGAGCAAACAGCCCTCCTCTGACAAAAGTGCTGTAACTGTTCGGCTTTGCCCCCCTTCCTTTCCTATGATCTCCCCAATCAGTGAATTCACCATGTGACAGAGGTGGTGCTAGCTCAGCCAGAGCCTCCTAGCTGCTCGAGCTCTCCCTCTCAGCCAGCCCAGCACATGGCTTTTCTGACACTGCCTGCACCCATGGCCTATTGCTCTTGCAACACAAATGTGCAGTAACCAGGGGACAAACTTAAAGCCTCCTTGCACTTTCAAGTGTCGATCAACTTGTCTAACCACAGCAGAAGCTGAGTGCTTCAAAAATGTGTTTAAAAACCAGTGAGTGATTAACGAAGGTGTTTTCTGAAAGATCTTTTTGTAATCAAGTGTTATAGTTATGCACCCAGAAGTTCAAAAGTGGTTGTAGAGAAATTAAATGTTTGTGTGTCTGCTTTATGATTAAAGTATTTTGACTTGTATGACTTTTATGGAAAGGGGCTGAACTATTTTTGCAAGTTCAGTGTTTCTGTAGAAAAATAAAAGCTTCAGAAGCTGAGATGACAAGTCAAAATGTGAATATTTATACTCTTGTAAATGAATTTTATGGAAGCATTGAAGAAATGTCTGAACATAATGTATTTGCATCTCTGTATACAAACTGCAAAATGAATTATGCTAGGTCTAGAACCTCGCTGGTGAATTGCAGATGTCTTTTGTACATACATATGGCTTTGAGAGCTTTGAACTGTTTCCTCAAGCTTCACTCATCAGAAAGATCGTATGGATAACTTCATTGCGAGATTTTTTTTCCTCTCTTGTTTGCAAAGCATGTTGGATCTGTTTGATAAATATTGAGTTCCAATTCATCCAAGGACTGAAATGAGTTAGTTCTGTACATATGGAATATGGGAGTGAGATGCACGGAGGATATGTTTATAGTTAGCAAAATTAATAGTTGGAAGCGAATGCAAAGGAACCTAAGCCTAAACAGCTTGGCAGGCCAATAGCCAATGTATGTCTTTGAGCACTGCCAAGCATGTAGCAAGCATGCTGAGCTCTCATCTGTACAGAGGTACGAGAAACATGCCTAACTTCAAGCCTTCTGACAATGTTACCTGGAGCACAGTTTTGCTCTATCTTTGCAGTAATGTGGATTTCAGCCAGCATCTGCTGTGGGTACCGTTAGCACATGAAAGCAGTGGGAGCTGCCTGAAGAAGGCCAGCAGTTGTGTTATGGCAGCTTTTTTTCACAGCCTTTG